CTCTCTCTCTCTCTCTCTCTCTCTCTCTCCTTGTAGTGCTTAAAATCCATGAGCTTCTCCTTCCCCAGCTTCATCTATGCCTTTGTGAAGATTCCACACACAAACAAGCATCGCCTCCTAGTGGGGTCCTTTCTGGCCAGTACCTGTGGGGTTCTAGGTTCTGAAACCCAGCCACTTCACACTTACCGCACCATTTCACTTTCCAGTTGCGATTGGCATCAACTCCACGGCAGTGAAACTTAGAGTTTCTTGACCGTGTCTTTCTCCAGAATCGATCCTAGACATGATTAAAAAACATCAGGCAGAGAAGAAGAGGCTTAAAAGGTGTTCTAGTTTCATTTCAGCTGCTGTGATAAAAAATACCGTGACAAAAGGGAACTCGGAGGAGAAAGGGTTTGCTTGGATTACAATTCCAGGCTGCAGTCTATCATTTTTGGGGAAATCAAGGCAGAATATAAAGCAGCTAGTTCACTGAGCAAAGAGAATAAATTCATCCTTGCTTGCTTGGTTAGCACTTTGCTTTCTCTTCTCTTATCCGGTCCAGGGCCCAGTCCACGAAGCAGTACTGCCCCACAGAGGGCTAAGTCTTCTTATATGATGTAACAATCACCATAATCGCCCATAGACGTATCCACAGGCCAACCTGTTCTAGATCCCACGTGATCTAGACTGTGTCATGTTGAGAGTTAAAACTAACCAGCACAAAGAATGTTCATATGCATTTTAGTTGCTCTCTGGGTAAAGGCAACATATTACTTTAGGGTAAACTTCTCCATGCATAGACCAGCTAGGAGAACACAGAGGCGAGGATTAGACCAGATCCAGCCTCATGCTCTGCCTTCTAACACCATCAGGTGTCTCCTATATTTTTGACTCTTTTTTTCTTTAACAATTTGATACAATGTATTTTGGTCATTTTCACCTCTATCTTCCTTTATCTTTATAGGCTAACTGAATAGGTTAAATGAGGCTAGTGATTTTTTTATTATTAATTTATCTGGAAAGAGAAATCTTTATTTCTATGAAATCTTATGCAAAGCACATTATGAAAATGATTGAGGAGGAAGCTTCTTATGTTTCTTGAGTTCATTAGTAGTGAGCTGATCAGCAAACTCCTTTCCTGGCTCATCACTTTCTTTTCAATTGGATAGGCAGAGCAACTTACATGTGTCCAGCTGAAATGGTATCCATCAACATTAAATACAGGCATGATATAGAAATACAGATGATTCAACATTTTTCTCATCGCTGGGTCAGTCTTGTAGGTCAGAATGGCCTGAAAGACAAAGGAGACATTTGCCTTAAGGATGATGGGTACCAAAAGGATGGGTACCAAAAGGATGGATACCAAAAGGATGGATACCAAAAGGATGGGTACCAAAAGGATGGATA